CTGCTGTCGGCAGAGCTGGGGAGCGAGCACAAAGCCACGCAGCCAAGGGCTGGTGTCACCACTCGGACCTGCCTTTGGTAATTGCACAGAAGCTGAGAAAGGGCCCCCGGGCAGGTCTGTTCCCCTGCACTGGGCAGCACTTTGCACTGAGACTAAACAGCCTGATACCATGATGTTTGCACCCCGCAGGCCAGTCCCCCGACCCCATTGCAGGCCTCTGTAGTAAGGATCTGAAAATCCAGCCCCTGCCTAGCCTGAAGCGCTCTGTGCAATGTCAGCCCTGCAGCATCTGAAGTGCACTGCGTGCTCTCCAGGAGGTGCGGCTGGGGCAGGATCCCAGGCAGATGCTGCATTACACAATCATGCATTAGCTTGTTATGTACAGATTGCAGCAGTGGGCTATGGAGCCTCATTAAGATCAGGGCTGGGAGCGCAGGAAAAGGAGTCTGACTTTGCGCAGAGAGCTTCAGGGGAAGCAGGAGGTGGATGATCTGACCCTTACTACAGAGGCCTCAACGCCAAGTTATCAAAGATGTGTGTGGAGGAATTGTAATAAAACCAAATGTGACAAACCACCCAAAGGCAAAACCATCATGAGAGCTGAAGTGGAAGTTGAATGAAGAATTGTTTTCCTTGCCATGACGACACACTGCACATTAACTGTTCCCTGCACCTTTCCTGGCAGCCACAGTCTAAAGCAAGTGAGGTCAGAACCCTTCCAGAGATGTTAGCAATGCCAAGGCACCCTGGTACCAGGTTTAGGCTGGGCCAGGCAGGCTGGGGGTTAAGGCTTCAGCTTCCCTGCTACTATGAGAGGGCTTCCAAACCAGAACCACTCGTGGGAATCAGCCGAGAGAGCGGAAGAGTTTCAGGACACAGAGGGTATGTCTAGACTGCAGCAGAGGGATGCAGATTAGGCTGGGTGAAACTGCTAATGAAGCGGGGATTTAAATATCCTGTGCTTCATTAGCATAAAAATGGCTGCCACTTTTTTCCGGCACAGAGCTTTGTCGGAGAAAAGCGTCAGTCTGGAGGCTGATCTATCGCTAAAGAAAGCCTTTTCCGATAGATCCTGTACACCTCATTTTACAAGGCATAAGGGATCTATCGGAAAAGGCTTTCTTTAGCGATAGATCAGCCTCCAGACTGACGCTTTTCTCCGACAAAGCTCCATGCTGGAAAAAAGCGGCAGCCATTTTTATGCTAATGAAGCGCGGGATATTTAAATCCCCGCTTCATTAGCAATTTCGCCTAATCTGCATCCCTCTGCCAGCAGTCTAGACATACCCAGAGATGCAGAGGAAGGAATATGACCGTGTGGGACAGAAGTCATTGAACTCCCCATGCAAAGGAGAGGGCCGCAGGTGGGGCCCACTGAGCATGCTGCTGTGGGGTTCCACTAAATGGGTCAAAACAGGCTCAGCATCACAATGTCATTAATGCTGGGGAGAGACTAATGCCCCAGGGCCACTAGCCGGAGGACAAGCCAGGCCCCATCCAGGAGCTGAGCGAAAGCTGTGCTAGGCAAGCCATGCTGTTACACTGGGGCACCTCTGTCAATCTGTGCTAGGAGGAGCTGCAGAACTACTCTGAATCTAGGGCCCTACTCAATGAACATCGCCAGGGTTAGCTGCAGATATAAAACTACCACATGAAAGGCGCCTCGTCTCTGCTCCAGGGATCTTCTAAGTCCACCCTGTGCCCTGTTCAATGACCCCTCTCTTCTCTGCCCAATCAACACATTCCAGGGGAGGAGCAACCTCAGCTAATTAGCATCAAGCAAGTAAAACACATGTTGACACATTTTGGCTACACAAATTTTCTTCCTTTTCTAGAATCTTTTAGCCCATTAAACCAACCCTGACTGCCCCAGCAGCCCTGAGCACACACTGTGACGCACAAGTCCCATTTGTAGCAGTCTGTTTGTCTTCAGCTCTTGCTAACTTTGGTGATCAATCGAATGTCACAGGCTGAGCTGGACTGTTGTGACCTTGGACTACTGAAAGTTCCTCTTTGCTAGGAACTGGCCGATGGGCTGGACCACCCTGTGAAGCACCTGGCACTGGTCATGTTGAACCAGTGAGTTAGATGGACCATTGCTCTGACCCAGCCTGGCATTCTGATGGCCACTTTGTCTCCTCTGTGCACAGCTCCATGCACACATTGCGAGGCAGTGACAGACCTTCACCGGGGCTGGAGCCCCCATAGCACTTGGGAGGGTCCTGACCCCATAGAACGGCTCCCCATGCAGAATTCCTGCAGAAAAGCAGAAGGAAGCTGCACCGGGGCAGGGGGGTGGGGAAATGACCATGGATGGAGTTGAGGGGCATTGGCCCCCAAACAGGGGTGAGGTATGGAGGGGGCCATATGGGGTTAGGTGCCCCTGCCCCTCACTTCTGCAAATGCAGAGCTGCCCAGTTGACATAGCCTTCTGGATCCTATTGCCAGTCATGCTCCCCTTATGCCCTCTGGGAGCATTTTGCACCCCAGTGGAGCTTGGCAAAGGGGGTGTGGGACAGAGGCAGTGGAGCAGGAAGGGGTGGAATCAGCAGGACAAGGGACATGTGGGAGTGAGGGGAGGAGGCAGAGAAGGGATGGGGACCGGGAAATGGCGGGAAGAAGTGGGCGCTGGGCATGTATAGAAAGTACGCTTATTAAGTTTGCAGATGATACCAAGCTGGGAGGGGCTAAAATAAGGGATAAGGGACCTTTCTGAAAAGGCTTTATTTTCCGCAAGATCCGCGTCTAGACTGGCGTTTTTTTCTGGCAAAGCTCCGTGCCGAAAAAAAGCGGCAGCCACTTTTATGCTAATGAAGCGGGGGAGATTTAAATCCCCGCTTCATTAGCAATTGTGATACGTCTAATTTGCATCCCTTTTACGAAAAAGGGATGCAATCTAGATGTAGCCACACAGAATGGGAAGCGACAGTCTGGGAAGAAGCACGGCAGAAAGGGATCTAGGGGTTATAGTGGACCACAAGTTAAATATGAGTCAGCAGTGTGACGCTGTTGCAAAGAAAGCAAACATGATTCTGGGATGTACTAACAGGTGTGCTGTGAGCAAGACACGAGAAGTCATTCTTCCGCTCTACTCTGCACTGGTTAGGCCTCAATTGGAGCAGTGTGTCCAGTTCTGGGCACCGCATTTCAAGAAAGATGTGGAAAAATTGGAGAGGGTCCAGAGAAGAACAACAAGAATGATTAAAGGTCTAGAGAACATGCCCTATGAGGGAAGGCTGAAGGAACTGGGTTTGTTTAGTTTAGAAAAGAGAAGACTGAGGAGGGACATGAGAGCAGTTTTCAGGTATCTAAATGGGTGTCATAAGGAGGAGGGAGAAAACTTGTTCATCTTGGCCTCCGATGATAGAACAAGCAGCAATGGGCTTAAACTGCAGCAAGGGAGGTTCAGGTTGGACATTAGGAAAAAGTTCCTGCCTGTCAGGATGGTTAAACACTGGAATAAATTGCCCAGGAAGGTTGTGGAATCCCCATCTCTGGAGATATTTAAGAGCAGGTTAGAGAAATGTCTGTCAGGGATGGTCTAGACAGTATTTGGTCCTGCCTTGAGGGCGGGGGGCTGGACTCGATGACTCTTGAGGTCCCTTCCAGTCCTAGTATTCAATGATTCTATGTGGCACTCCCTTGGCAGCAGCTGGAGCTCCACCATGATGCAGGTCCATTGACCCTTCACCTGGACAAGCCCTACCCCCTGCATCTGGACCCCTCCTATGAGTCCTCCACACGCAGACTCCCACCCCACTGAGCCCCAGCCAGCTGCACCTGGACCCCCACCCCATCAAACCCCACTCCCCCAGCACTCAGATCCCCCCCACTGACCCTCCTACACCCAGGCCCCACCCCTGCTGAGCCCAAGCCACCTTCACGGGATCGCCTGTGGAATCCCTAAATGAGCCCCTGTCCATCCAGATTCCCTCTGAGCTGCCTGCACCCAGAAATCTCTCACCCACACCTGGAACTCCCGCAAAGCCCTTCCACACTTGGCTCTGAACCTGCCCCGCCATGGCTGGTGTGCCTGGTGCGGTGAGGCTGGGCTCTAGGGTGTTCTGGGGCAGGCCCAGCCCTTGGGCTCCAGTGCAGCCTCACTGCCGAGTCCCTGTAGGAAGTGGGAGCTTAGGGTAATCTCCCAGCTCAGTGCAGCCAGCAGCCTGGGCGCCCACTGCCGTGCTGGAGCGCAGAGGTTCGTGGACAAAGCTTGCAGAACTTTGCACTGTGCCTAGATGTTAATGCTTTGGCCCAGAATTCGCTCACCCCAGAGACTAGCAAAGGCACCGCCATGCTGTCCAGCCACTCTCAGCCACATCTGCAATGCTCTGAGCAGCAGTGTCTCGCAGCCAGCCTGAGATGTGGGCTGAGCCCCTCAGCCTAGTAATCTTGGGGTCATCTCACAAGAACTGAGACAGCGCGGACAGAGCCGAGGGGGCGTTGCATTTTCCTTCTCCGGAGCACAAGCTCTGGATTGGAAGGGGTGGGTAGGGGAGCACCTGTGTGGGAGCATGAGCATTCAAAGGGCACCGGCTGCCCAAGGACTAGCACGCAGCAGGACAGCGCTGGGCGCGCCTAGATCTGTTCGCCCTGGACCACACGTACCACAGTGCGACTGGCCGTCACGCAGCTGAGTGCTGGCAGCGGGTTCTTGGCATAAATCGTCACCACCACTTGGCTGCTGGTTTGATGCCAGTCCTGTCGACAAGACACCAGCTTCTTATCCTGGTGAGGAAAGGAGCCTGTTACTGAGGTAGCCTCCAGCCCCTGGGAGCCTGCCAGTAGCTCCTCCCCCAGGGCAGAAAAGCCGCTTTCCAGGCCGCTCACTGCGGAGTTCACTGAGGGCGAGAGTCCCCGCCCAGCACGTCAATGGAAGACTGGGCTCTTTGCATTGTGATCCAGCCCTGTCTGCAGGGGCACACGCTGGCTCCCAAGCAGTTATGTTCCCATTGTCCTCCCAGGGGTTCCCATGCCCAGACTCTCGCCAGTTCTGTCTTGCTTTGGGGCAGCACTGAACCAAGTCCTGCTAGGGAGCAAGTGTAATTCAACAGCCTCAGGCATGTAGCTACAGAAATGTCTGGTGCGGGGGCGCGGAGAGGTTTTTCCTGCTTTCAGTGCCTCCTGTCCAGGGAGGGTGTGCAAGGCACCTGGCATCCAAGTGTTCGAAAGCAGAGCCTTCCACACCCACAGGGCTGCAGCCTGAGAAACCTTTCCTGCTCAGCCAGGTGGTCTTTCCCTTCTAGCCACAGGGGGCATCATCTCCAGAGAGGGAAGGAGAGCAGAGAGGAGGCCTTTTGCCATAGCCCCCAGCTTCTTGCACTTACCTACCAGCCCATCTGAGCAGTGGGGCCTTGGCAGGGAAGGGCTGGGCTCAGTGCCCTTCCCTGGCTAATTAGCCCTGCTTGACTGTGCTACTGGTCACCCCATCTGCAGGGACGGACGGAGAGCCGCCTTCCAGTGGGGAAATGACAGGTTGGGCCTCACACTCCATCAGCTGCCCCAGACGCTGTTGGCCTGGCCTGTTGGCACTGCCTGCTTTCAATAGGTGGAGTCGTACCCTGCAGCGCCAGCGGGGCGCATACCATGCAGCAGTCAGGTGGGAGTGGGGGAAGAGGGACGGCAGGAGTTCAAAGGGCAGGCATGCGCTGGCCTGGCATTGTAACAGCTAAGCTGGGCTGGATCTGGTCAGTCCTGAACTGCAAACCTTCAAGGGAAGACACAGGGTGGGCCATGGGGGCCCTTTGCACCGGCTGGCTCCGTGGTAGCTTGGAAGCCCTTTCCCGCTTTGGGCAGCTTCCTCAGTCCCCTGGCCTGTTGAAATGGATCCAGCTCCGTGTGGCGCCTGGCCATCCTCTGCATTGCACTTCTGCTGACATGCCCCCTTCCCAGCTCACTGCTATTAGGCTGCCTGGTGGCATTTCTGCCTTCCGGGCTCAGTTGCTCAGGCCTGACTTCAAACCGGGGAAAAGTTGAAGAAAAGTTTGGGAAAGGATCAGAGGTTCAGGGATGTGTTCAAGTAGCGCTGCAATTTGCCCTCATTTGAAAAAGCCCCCAGGGACGTGACATGCCCACGACGACGTTAAGGCAGCCTGCAGTGAAAGGGCTGCATTTGCTAATCACCAGAAATGCTCCTTCGGCCCTCACAGCCTGTCCTGCTGCCCTGGTTTTCACGGGCACCTCAGTGTGGCTTATCCCTGCGATCACACCTGTGCAGCGGTTTGCCTCTTCAAAGGCCTGTGTTGCGTACATAGCTCCGGCACCCTCGGCACTGGGCCAGGTGTAAGGCAGCCTGCAGTGAAAGGGCTGCATTTGCTAATCACCAGAAATGCTCCTTCGGCCCTCACAGCCTGTCCTGCTGCCCTGGTTTTCACGGGCACCTCAGTGTGGCTTATCCCTGCGATCACACCTGTGCAGCGGTTTGCCTCTTCAAAGGCCTGTGTTGCGTACATAGCTCCGGCACCCTCGGCACTGGGCCAGGTGACACATTCGACAGGAGCGGGCGTTCGTCTCCCCCTGCCTGGGTCTGCATAA